CACACACACACACACAGAGATATCCCAGGTCCATAAAATGTGTTTCCCGTGGCAACAGGTCTGACATTTTGGCCTGCGTGTGTTCAATCCAAATGCCGGTTCAGTGGACCAGAATGAGCAAGACACTGAAATGATTCTGGCATTTGGAGGATTGCTGTTCTCCCATGTGGTGTCTATTCTTTCATACAGTGACAAGGATAACGCTCCGTTTAAAGTGCGGGGTATAAAACTGGATCAGAGCCAGATGTTAGAGCCCGTGGTCCTCTCTCAGGCGGGTTCACACTGTGACATTGTCCCCCCCCCCCCCCCGGCTCCAGCTGGCGGTTTGGCAGCAGACCTCCAGGCTTCAGCCAGGAAGTCGGAGACCTCAGTGACCTGCAGAGAGCTGGATGTCCCGGGGAGGATGAGTTCAACTGGGTGAACTGTAACAGAGAGGTGAGGAAATGTGAGACGAGAGGAGGAGAACAGTTTGTGATGGAGGGGAGGGGAGGGGAGGGGGGGGGGGGGGGGGGGGGGTGTCGATCCATGTGTCAGGATATGAGATGTCTCCAAGGCAACAGAAGTTGTGTGGAAGTGGGTTGGCAGGAAGCAGAAAGATGGATGGCAACACCAAGAGAGAGTGGGGTAAAAGTGGACACTGTTACGCGTCAACCATAATGAGTGACCATGTGTGTTGAGGGTTAAGAGTCAATGCAGACGCACACACACACACACACACACACACACACACACCCACCCCTCCTGCAGAGCTCAGTCTGACGTCCTCATTTCTGCGTACCAGCCGCAACTCGTAGGCTACTTCCTTTCCTTCCAGGAAGCATACCCAGCAGTATAAAATTAAAAAAGCTCCACTTTTACCAGCTGCAACATTAAAGTGATGTATTTAATTATATAACTATAATCCAATAACAGGCTACATTATTCTGAAATGGACCATTCCGCATAATGAGTATGTTCACTCCTTTAAGTATATTTTAGTGCTAATACTTTTGTACTCCTACTTGAGTAACATTTAGAATGCAGGACTTGTACTAGTAGTAGTAGAGTATTTCTGCATGTACACTGTGGTATTGCTACTTTTACTTAAAGGAGATATTGTGCTCATTTCCAGGTTCATACTTGTATTTGGGGTTTCTCCTAGAGCATGTTTACATGCTTTAATGTTCAATTAACTCTTTATTTTGCCATTCTGTCTGTCTGAATATACCTGTATTCACCCTCTGTCTGAAACATTGCTAGGCAACAGCTTGGGTCCATTTTTACTTCCTGTCAGCTGATGTCATTCATTCACAAATTTCAGAACCGGAGATAAACTGGGACACTTACGGAAATTTGTGTATTCCTCCAGGGATTGAGCGTTTTTTTCTTTTACTTTCACGGTATTTATAAAGTATGAAAGATCTCATTTTTTTACAATATGGGACCGAAGTAAAAGATCTGAGTACTTCTGCCACCACTGGTGGTTTGGCCTTCACCCGTTTATCCACTGAGTTCAGCCACACTGACACACTTGTTCACTGAGGAGCTGCACTTCTGTACTCTGGGGTTTGTAATAGTCTCAGTGTTCCTCACCTGTTCAGGCTGACAGAGATGTAGAGTCCGGCCCATTAATGGGAGCAGAACAGACACATTAACCTTTTCTCGGGCTGTCCTCGTCTCAGACGCTGAAGACTCACAGGCGCTTGTGTGCTGATCTCATTATTTCGTAAAGGAAGCTGTTAACAGTGTGAGCATGGAGTACTGTGGCATTCAAATATTCCTCAGCAGATATTGTTTCCATTTGAATCAACATATTTCTTTCATAAGTGCTGTATTATCTATTTCTTTCTTTTAAACAATAAAGGGGGGTTTATCCTGTAAAAACACTTAAGGTTCTGCAGTGAACTGTAGTATTGAAATTATTATTGTATTAATCAAAAGGCTCATAACTCATCACCAACAGTTTTGATAATTGATTATGACATCTTAGTGTTTTTCTCTGTTTCGTATCAGTTATAATCAATAATGAAAACCCTCATCAGTCAGTCAACTGATCTGGTCAGTTCTCAGTAAGTCTTGGGGCAGTCTGAACTGCATAATTGCCACTAATTGAGATTTTTCTCAGCACTGAAACCATTTTAAAACACGTTTCCCTCGACAAATGTGAGAGGTCGAGTGTCTGTAGGTTGCTGAGTGAGCGCTGCCTGGCTTCAGATGACAGACGGCGGCAGATGAGGGTTCAAATGGGCCTCTGCAATCTATATGGTAAGTGGCTCTTTTCACAGGTTGATTACATCAGCCAATGAACTCTGAGACGACCTCAGAAGGCGAGCTGTGTAATTATCTCCACCGAGAGCTGGAATAGCTAACATAGTTTACATGCCATATCGTCACTGCAGGTTGAACCTTAACGTTCGGGTTAACTTTCATCACCTGGTGCAGAATGTTTATCCTCCTCTGGATCCGGTTATCTGTGTGTGTGTGTGTGTGTGCGCATATTTGCACAGACGCGTGTGTTGACAGACATGTTTGCATATAGTTGGTTATGTGCATGTGTGCATTTGTTGTATTGTCTGAATGTCATGACAAATGTTACACAAGTGTTATTCATTACTGTTTGCATTATGTGTGTCCTAGAGGAGGTATCCACACATGTGTTGGCTGATCTCTCTGTGAGTGAGCCATACCGACTTAGAGTCCCTGAAGACAGATTTTCTTCTTATTTCTGTGCAACTCCATGTGCCACACCTCATGCACTATACATCAAAAGGAAAATATATATATTTAAGTTACAAAGATAGAAGTATAAAAAGTACAAGTAGGCTGCTGCATCTAGTGCGATAAATTAGAGGAAAACATGAAAATTCAGTTCTTCATTTCGGCCACAAGGCTCCGCTGGGTTAGAGACTGATAATGGAACTGAATGCTGACATTTGGAACAAATATTTATGTCCCCCGCCGGAAGAATTTAAATAATTTGATGATGTTCTGAATTTTCATCAGGTCCATTTTTTATTTGTCCAATAGCATAGTTTATAACCAAATACCTACAAAACGTGTGATTTTCCCATCAGCCCCAGCTGTACTCTGTGTTTAAAAAGCAAAGCCTCACAGAGCCAGTAGCATGGCTGCTGACGCTTCATCTTGTTTACTTTAACTTTGATTGTTGCTTCAAGAATAGTCAGTGTCAACTAGAAATGCTTGATATTTGGTATTAATACGTTTTCCCTGGGTGTCGTGAAGGGTTAGGCATGAAGATATGAATGATTTGTGCATTTCAAAGGCCTGGGAGTCCTTCACACATTGCATGCCGTATGTGAGGAGGCTAATGGGTGTCTCGAGGTTAAGATGGAGAGCTTGTAGAGGTCTGGACTAACACATTACACATTGTTTGTTCCCCTCCTTGGTGTTGTGATTCTGTATAACGTGGGACACATTGTATAAGGCCGGGTGAATGTGACCTTACTCTTAAGTTGTTGGTATGATATGGTACCAAGAGCTTCTGGGGCTCAATGAGTTTATGCTTTTATTCATCTTCGTGAAGATTGACCGGAAGTACATGTTTTCCACATCACTGGGCTTTAATTAAAAGAGGCAGAAATGAATCAAATTTTCCATCCAAGTGAGGCAGAGACAGGCAGAGGTGACGCCTCTTCTAGGGCTTTTCACGTTACTCACTGTTCTAATCAGCTGTTTGTCACCAGATACCGACTCTTACACCTGAAATCGTGCATTTCTAAATCCCTTCCTGTCAAGTCAATGCAGCATCGTTATTGTATCTATGCAAGGGATCTCTGATAAAGCAGTGGCTGTTCCCCTCTCAGTCCACGGGTGGCACTTGACTCAAAACCAAGCAATGTGGATAAATAGTGCTTTTTTGTCCCGCAGATCAATGAAGTCAGTGGGGCCCTTTTTCTATTTTAGACTGACAAACGTATTTGTTGCCATAGCAAAGTTTCCAGGGAAACGGATCCGTCTGTTGAAACCATCGGCTGGTTGAAACCCAAAGACGGCCGGACAAAAAGAGAAGTAGCTGTAAATTGATTTTAAACAACACGCTTCATTGTCTGCTCAGCTGCATGTGCTTTTCGAGGTCAAATTGTCTTATATATATATATATATATATATATATATATATATATATATATATATATATATATAATGATCTACGGGCACACAAACGCCGCGCGGTCTCTTCTTGGCGTTAATGGTGTCCTTGGTTGAAAGCTTTATTTCAAAGAGAGAGTGAGGCTGACCTGTTAAGGTGCAACAGAGTAAAATCAATTAAAAGAACTGTTGTGTGTCCCTGGGGAAAGACAACAAGATGAGTGAAGCAGAGTGGCTGTGTGTCCTTATTCTAACGTCCAGGTTATGTGTGAAAGTGCACTTGCAGCACAAATACCCCCACAAAACATCTTTGATGTGGAGCAGTGGCTGTGCTGGTTAAAAATCCTAAACCCACCTGTAGGATTCCTGTGCCTCTGATATGTAACCAGTGTGTTTCCTGCAGTTGGTTGTACTGGGAAACACGCAAACGCACACCGATCTCATTGGTCAGCTGCAGCTCTGTGCCGTCTATAAAACGCTCAGCTCCGTCTGAGGGCGCAGAGCAGCGCCACGGAGCGCACAGTCTTACCAGTGGAGAAGACACCTGTTACTGACGGAGAAAGTGGACAAAGACGACTGTGTCTCTCGGTGAGTAAATTATTTATACATTTCTGAAGACAGGAGCAGCGTGTTACCGCCGGACTCCACGGAGACACAAGGTTTTAGAGGTTTAGAAAAACGGACTCGTGCGCAATTGGAGGAAGCCTTGTAGGACCTGTTGAATTAAATATTTTCGTTTGTAACTTTCGTTGGATATTTTTCTTCATCCTTTTTGGTTAAAACGTATAACATAACAGTAAAGAAGCAGCACGATAATCTGCTGTTAAATCATTCATTTTAGCAGCATTAATGTTCAATTCGGCAAAATTCTAATTATTTACTTAGTTTCTTTCTCTAACTCGCCTTATATTTTTAAGTGAAACAGAAAGCCAGAAGTAAATCGGAATTGTTTTCTGCGTTTTAACAATAAAATGCGCACAAACGAGGAGGGAGCACAAATAGTTCATGTTATTACAAATAACAAAATAAAGAATGTGACGTTACATTTGGTACTTTAGAAATATCAAGATTTAAAAACAAAAAAAAGAGTGAAGTACCCTTTTTGTTGTTGTTAATCAGTTCCTAGACTGCCACACACCACCAATCAATAAAGCCACTCTGCTGTCTAAATTATGACTGTTAAATAAATATTGTAGTTGAATTCTGGTTGATGTGTGCGTTCAAAGACTTCACATCCCTGTTGAAATGGCTGTTAGTTCCACTTCCCTAAAATGTAATAAGTTGAGTAAATTCAGTTCTTCAAACAAATTATTTTTGAAGCTATAGTATGTTTGAGAGAGCATCTGTTGTTGAGAGCTCCAAAAGTTTAGTAGCTGCAATATTTGCTGTTTGTTCAGTGTTAATGCTGTTTCAAGTCTGCGTCATCAGAGCTAAAACACATAGGTGTTATTATTATCTCTCCGCTCCCCTTGGAGTTTCCATCCTTTGATCATTTACATCTCCCACCTGTGTGTTATTAATTGCAGACACCTGACTGCACCTACTCCACACGCCCACGCATCCCACTGTCTGGTGGGACCATGTGGGTTCTGGATAAGATCCGCGGAACGGTGGAGAGCGGCGTGCTGCATCACGGGGAGAACGGAGACAAGAAATGCGTCGCCTACAGCAACGTCCTCACCCCCGACAAGATCCCAGACTTTTTCATTCCCCCAAAGCTGGTCAGCACCCCCCCAGAACCTGAGATTCCTACTGTGACGCTCAAAGAAGGACTGCAACCCTCAACTTCGGAGCTAACTGTCAGCGGTGGGAAGAAGATCAGCAGCCCGAGAAGTCCACGCCTGGTGGCGAAGATCGCAGGGGACACCAAGAACCTGCTGAGAGCAGCAAACCGACACATCATACAGATAGAGAGTGCTGATGATGTTGGAGACACCAATGCAGACCCCCAGTCGCAGACAGCAATGTCCCTGCCTTATGTGCCTAAGACTCAAACACCTTATGGCTTTGCAACCTTGAAGGAAAGCCCCCACACTCGCCGTAAAGAGTCACTTTTCCACTGCGAGCTTACCAGTCCTATCACCTCCCCAAACACCCAGAGGAAGACCCAGGGTAGAGGCAGCGAAGGGGGAAACCACCTGAACCCAGCTGACTGCAACACCGCTCACATGAATCCGTACCGGTACTTCAGCGGAGGGGAAAGTGACACGTGCTCCTCAGCCGAGTCCTCTCCCTTCAGCTCTCCCCTGCTCTCCCGCTCCGCCTCCTTGCTCAAGATCTTCACCCACGAGACGCAGGCCAAAGTCGTGAAAGCCAAGCGGACGTTTGCCCGTCACAGCTCTCTCTCCACCGACGAGTGCAGCTCGGCCGAGCCCAGCCCCAACATCCAGCGACGGCTCCACGTCCCCTCCTTCCACGGTGCCGGAACGTCCGACCACGGGCTCCATCGGGAGCACACCATCAACCTGCACAAAGGCGGGTCGGTGAGGATCAGCGCCAACTACGACTCCAGCACCTCCCGCCTGCTCATCCGTGTCCTGGTGGCGGAGAGTCTTTACGACAAGCACTTTGACATCAAGAGCATCAACTGCTGCGTGTCCGTCTACCTGAACCCGGGCAAGCAGCAGAAGCAGAGGAGCAACATCATCAAGAACAGCCGCAATCCGGTCTTCAACGAGGACTTCTTCTTTGACTCGATAAGCTTGGTTCAAGTGAAGAACCTGCTGATGAAGTTCAAGGTGGTGAACAAAGGCACCAGCCTCAAGAGGGACACCCTGCTGGGGGAGCGGGAGGTGCCTCTTAAAAAGTTGCTCTCAGGGGTTTAAAGTCACAGGACCAAAGGTCAAAGGAGGCAAAAAAGGACACTGATTGAAACTTAAATTAGAAGTTTGTACTGGTTTCTATTCAAACTGCTCTTTTTATTCCAATGAAAACCATGGACATTACAAGGAATGGAGAAGGTAGTGAAATACATTGTCAGAAGGAAAGAGGGGCTTTCTTCTGAGATCTGAAAAGACCGCCAAGCTCAGAAAATGAAGCTCTTGATGTTCGTGGACGGATGATTTGTGGTGGTCGAAGCCGGCCTGGTTCCTTCCCCCAATAATGAATGCTCATTAAACCAAGCCGGGCTCGACAGCAACAGATTCATGATGACAGATGAAAGGGTTTCTATTCCTGGACATGTCTCCCGACCAACTTCTTCAGCCAGGTCTGGTTCAAAGGTTGGACGACACCTGTGCATCAGCCCTCATCGCTATCCCTGCCTGCACTTTGTGTTTGTCATGTGTGGCATGGTTTTATTATTGTAATATGACATAAATCCACAGCAGCGCAGGATGTGATTCTGCATTATCTACACCGTATGTTCCGCACAAAGATGCTTTTGTGAATCAGAGCTTTGAAGTGGCACTACATCCTGATGTGCAAATGACCCTTTGATCCCAGTTGCCATGGCCCACCTCCTACTGGGGAGGGCGAGGGACAAACAGAGCAGCCACAATAGTCACATTTACATGCACATCAAAATTTGAATTATAATGCAAAGTCCTATGATTGCCATCATCTGATTATGTCAGTCTAATTTCTTATTAACCGTAGATACATGTGCTGCAAAAAAATCTAATTATTCTGTAGCTTAGTAAAATTAATGTAACTTTAAAGTAAAAGGAGCCCTGTGGAGTTTTCTAGTAGATTATATTTACACTCAGTGTTTTTTACTACAATGCATCGTGTCAATCCTCGAGGTCTAACAAACGTGTTGAATGCATTTCCTTCCCCATAAAACAACTTTTTAAATATTTGTTTACGTCCCTGTTCGCTTGATTGATTGAAGTATGTCTCTCAATCAGCAGAATAGTATTAATCCAACGGCATTGTGCACGACGCAAATAAAATGAGCACCCACTCTCACAATCACTACACCCCAGCGCTACTAGCGGTAAAACACTCCACAGGGTACCTTTAAAGTTGATTTTTCTTTGAACAATTTTTCAAAATCTGTGCAGTAACGGTGTTTAAACCTGTTTCTAATGCAAATCAATATATTTCAAGTATATTGTTTGTTTTAACCACGTCGTCACTCACAATTACTTGGCTTATATATGAATTATAGTGCATTACCTTTTGTCGGTATAAGTATGAACATTGAATGAGAACAAAAGTTGATTTCAAATGGAAACAGGTTGAAGTATTCTTACTGCTTACTTTTTTTTTTGTTTGTTTTATAAATATATAGACAGAAATCTATAATGCAGTGTGGAGATTTTAATGTCTTTAATAGCCACCAGTTTTGTTTTTAACTGCATGAAACCCAACACGGGGAGACATGAGAAAATTCCTTCATATGTATGTATATATATGTAATTGATTTCTGTTGGGTTAATGAAATCTCTTGAACTTTTTGAACGACCTGTGTGGACGTTCCAGCTGCAGCCCGTCACGCACGGCTCATCCAGTGTGGGCACCTTGATTAAATCTTGTGCAACTAGGCAACGAGCTCTCGCCACATCTTCACTCTGCATTCACACCGGTCGGCGATACCTCCGTGTTATTCTGCACGGATTCTCAACAACCAAGACGATTATCCTAGGATTATTTAGTCAGTCACACAGCCTTTCAGCTTCAGACGAATCTGTCTCTCCAAAAGGGTGATTTAAAAGTCACAGTTTTTACACTGTAATCAAGTGCAACGTGTTTGTCATGTAAACAGAAGTTAACAATCGTCAATTTATGCAAAAAGGCTGCTGCCTTAGTCACAGTATTGACAGTGGACTAATACAGTACTTGTGTGCATGTAAATGTATTTAATGTCTCACATGAGAAGAACAGTCACAATGACGATTACCAGTTGCATGGCACAAATATGTCACTGACATACTTGTGTTTGCATGACATGCTCAAAGTTTCATCAAACCCTAAAGCCTTACTTAGTGTGTGTGTGTGTGTGTGTGTGTGTGTGTGTGTGTGTGTGTTTGAGAGTATGTTTTGATCAGCATGACATTTTGCCCAAAGTTGTTAATTCTCTTTGTACAACATGTAGTATTTTGTAAAATGTGTTTGAATGGTTTTGAAAGGTGTGTTGAATTTGTACTGTACATAACTACATATTTATGTACTAGTTTCTACAATTGTTAGCGAAATGCCAATTATGCACCAGCGAGTGAGAAATGCTCACGAAAGGTATTTTAATTACGTCTGTTTACATCTCTAATGAAGCCCTGGAGGAAGAGGTGGAAATGTCAAAAAGGAGATAAGGAAAACAATATCATGTGCTTTGACAGCTTGCAGCTCTCTCCTCTTTCGGCCGAGTCGAGCAACTGAAGACAGAAAAGAAGTCAGAGACATCACAGTGATGCAAATTACTTAGGTGTCTTACACACAGCCAAAAGCTTCAATTTATTTCTGAGAGCATTACTCTCACCTGGTGTTTGTAGCTCACTTGTAGCACTGTTCTTGATATGCTCTCTCTATATATTATATACAGTGACACTGCTGGTTGGCTTTGTTGTGAAAATCAGTGATCTGTTGTAATCCCTGTTGCGAACATACAGAGCCTGCTTGTAGGGTTATTGCATTTTCAATACTTCCCAAATGGTATTCAGCCCTGTTGTTACCAAACTCTTTCTAAGGTTTCTTCTAGCATGACTATCATACTTCAGTAGTGTCAGTAATGAATTTCAGTGGATTCCTATTGTGCAGTGGTGGGTCGCCTTGTGCTCTGATTTGGTGCCGACACAAATGTTTATAATGATGCACCTGAAATGTGGCTGATGTGTTCCGCAAGCTGCCCAACTGAGACCTTTTTTTTCTCATAACTAATTGTTTTGACTGTTTTATCATGTGGCTTGTCATTTAATATAATGGAAATGCAGTGAGAAATTAAAACAATAAACAGTTATCTGGCCGGGCCTTATCACAGATTCATATTCTGCAAATGGTGAAAAGTTGGGCCACATGTCTGAATAGAACAACCTTATCAATACACATATGGAGACTTGAGAGAAGGTAACATCTATAACACTTTTGAGCTTTTTACAAAAGTTTCTCTCTCTGCCACATCAGCAATTTATTGGATAAGAAGTCTGTTTTGGACTCAGAGTCATGTTTCACTTCCTGTTTCTGCCTTTTTTCAGAAAAGGCAGAAACAGAAGACAAAGGTTTGGGCTTTACAGTTTACATTTGACAACATAGCAGCAACAATCTGAATCTGCAATGACGTGTATTGTCAAGAAGGTTTTCACTGACAAGGAATTTGCCTTTGTGTATTGGTGCACACAGTAAACACACTAAGAGGATATACAAACAAATACAGGCAAAGTAGGCTACTGCAAAGACTGGAGTATAGATTGGAAAAATTGCAAAGAAAATATGAAAAAGATAGGGTACTATAAAAACAACTATAACAAATATACAGGCCTACATTATAACAAAAAAAAAGGCAGTTTTTTAATAATGAACAGGAGATTTATTTAATATTTGTGCACTATTTTATTGCTCTTGTGGTAGTTTGAGCTGAGTGGGAGTCTTACCACATATCTCTCAGAAATATATTAGACAATGTTAAGAGGTGATAAGTCCTGATCAGCCAATTTTATTCTAAATAAACACAGTTTATTTTTGACGTAATCACGTAATGACGTAAATATTTTTTGTTTTTGTGAAATGAAATGCTCCCCATTTAAGTCAATAGCTTTGTTAGCAAGTGAATGGTCTCAAAATGGCTCGATGGATAAAAAATGAGGAGGTAATCACAAGTGAGGAAATAAATAGGTGTTGCCAGTGGAAACCATGTTGTTGCTTTATTTTACATAGGTTCAGACTCCTGCTAATATTAGCATGTTAGCTTGTTATGTTAGCTTCAATCTCAAAGTGTAGCTGAGGCCGACAGGAATTTGTTTCTTTGTTTTCCCAGAATAGTTACAACGGACTCTTGCGCTTTCTTGCCGGGAGTTAGATGAGAAGATACTACTCTCATATCCGTGGGCTAAATACTGAGCTAGAGCAAAGAGGCAATTAGCATTAGCTTAGCATAAAGATGGAAACGGGGAAATAGCTTTATGGGTTTATTGGGGGATATGTTCTGTAGAGACCTGCAGCCCAGTGACAAACTATTCTTTTAAAGGTGTTCTGACACGGCAACAGAAGGCTTTAACAAGTGGAAATTTTGACCTGTTGGTGGCCCTCGATAAAATATCAGCTGACCACCAAAGTAATCAGGATTCTCCCTCTAAGGACCATGAATCTCAAATGTTATGGCAATTTTTTGTCAAGATCTGGACCAAAGTGTTGAGCCAACACACAAACAATCACCCACTTCGATCGTGTGGTTAAAAACAATGTTGGTTATTTTAAATGTTGACCTTTGTTTGATCCACAGAGCAACGCCAGAGTTAACGGTCCCATTATCCAGCCTGCCTCTGGAAATCAGTCCTTGTATCCCTGTGCTCAATAGTTGTTCAATTAAATAAGAGGCGGAGAGGCTTGACTGATAACATGTAAAATGAGAATTGAGTAAAGTGTCAGTGTGTATGTGAGAGGCCGAGAGCTGTCTGTTGGATGTTGTATTTTATTGACCGTCACATTTAGCTCCCTAAGCTTTTAAAGAATATATATACTGTATATATGAAGTGTCCCTAAAGTCTTCCTGTCTTGGCAGGTTCTGTCTGAAAAATTGAAACTGAAAAGTGCCCGTCCGTTACTTGGCACTGACATTTTTCTCAAGACTTATACAAACAATGGATGTTGGTTTCTATGTGCTGTAGCTGTTCTTGTTGTGTCTGGCCTGTGCAGGTAGATACTTTTTTACTGTGATGCTACAACCACTGACAGCCGCTCTCTGGTTATTTACTGTATTGATGGATGTGAAATACTTTAAATAAAGGAAATGTTCGTCACGGCTTATGTCGTCACTGATTTACACTTCATCAGTATTTATAATAAATGTGTGTCTACATAAAAATAGGCTTCGAGCTGAATATTTTCCAGTTGAACAAAACACTTTTGTAACAGAAAATACAAGATAACATGATCATGAATTAAACTAGAAAATAATTATCATAAATAACTATACTAAAACAATAATATAAAACGTGTATTAAGAAAACTGATGGTCAAATAAACATAAAAAAAATGCATTTATTGCTGCAAATTTCTGTTGGGGTCTGAGGCAGATGTTTTTATATCTAAACTAAAAAACAACAATCATAACAAGAAAAAAAAGACACACTACTAGTAACATGAAATAAAACAATATGAACAAAAATAAATAGCTAAAAAGAAAATAATAAGAGAAAAAATGAAGTGATTTTATTTCACTTATAAAAGATGATGTTGCGAATGGTACCGGTCACCTTTATCAGCTTATTCAACGGGTCTGCAATTGGGATTCCATACCAAGACCAAAGACTAAAACAGATTCAATTAATTATCTAAAAGATGTTTGTGATATCAAAATATCTGATTATTTGTTTTTGTTTTGCATCTGTATTTGTTGGTTCATAAATATTCTCATGAATAATTGTTTCTAGTTGTACTTTGCTTTAAGGTGTAAGAAATGTGGCCAGATCGGCATCTCAGTGTTATAACTGAAGCAACTCTACAGATATCTTATCTGCACTCCATGAACAAGAGAGAAAATTGTGACTAAGAGGACAAAGACATCCCTGTGCTCCTCAAGGCTTTCCTCTGACACCAACATTTTCCATCAGGATAGAGTCACCTTATCTCTGGCTGCTCTGCCTCTGTCCTTTCTGTCTTTCTAATTGCTTGATTCACCACAGTAATGTGACACTCTCTCCCTCAGACTAACCCCAAATCTTGTTAATTACGTCTTCCCACTAAAAATCCCATATCCAACAGAGTTTTCAGGCCTCCTGTCCCTCTTCTTACCATTAGCAGCAAACCCAAACAGAGATATTTGACATCTCTTCTCTTCCTTGCCGTCTTTAATTAGCAGGGTAAAAGTACTGCACCACCATTAGCCGAAGGGAGGAGTCGGTCTTGAGATGCCTGTTTGGAGAGGAAGTGCGTGGGAGGCGGGTGGAGACAGGACACAGGAGATGTTCCACACCAGCAGGGAAACATTGGTAATAACTGCTGCCAATGTCACTTTTCAGAATCAGAATCTAGAGAGGGCAACACTTTCTATTCTTGTGCATGCCTATTTCTCCCTGCTAATAAATAAAAAAACGTACTGCCCTTATCGGCCTTTTCATATTAACAATAGCTCAATTAAAGTCTATAATGTAAAAGCGGTTGTTGACCAAAAAGAGAATTGTTTTGATTTTAAAGCCCACGATTTAGAAGTTTTTGGTTCACTCTCACTGCTCTTATCAACATTGTTTCAGAATAACAGCTCTGATAAACTCTTCATCCTCTCTTCAGAGACCTGACCTGGGCCGTTTTTTTTAAAGCCCTCAGCGAATCATTTGCGTCGATGTGTGTCACGTGGTGCAAAGAGATCCGCAATGCCCACTGGGAAGCGGGAAGAGAGCAGAGAGCAGCACGTAGCCAGTTTAGCTAGCTAGCTAATGCTTCACGTTAGCCTGGGTAGCTAGCGGTCAGAAATGTCTGAAATAACGCAGAAAAAGTTGAGAAAGTGATTTTTTTAAAATATGAAATTATTCGGGGAAGGGCATTATATCGTGGAAACATTATAACCTTGATGTGAGAAGAGATAAAAAGCTTCTACAAATAGCTACACGTCTACAACTATCTGTTTACTATCTCTTTCACGTCTACAACTAGCTATTATCGAAGAACGTCACAGTTGTGTCTGTTCTGGATTATAACTACATAATGTTGTCAAGTTCAGCTGGGAAAGACTTGAGTTTACCAGACACGTCCATCAGCTGACCGGTAAAGCAGATTATTTATTATTTTGAGATGTTACATACTGATAGTTAACTGCCACCGAAACGGTTTGCAGAAATTATACTGTGTTTTATGAGCCGCCTTGCCATATTGTTCACCTGCAATATCAGTTAACGTTGGTTATTTTCTTTTTACCAATGAGAAAGCATTTCCAAAGCAAACATTTAGCGTTAACTTGGACTTTGTCTTTAAAGAAGAAATAGCTAAAATATAGCCTCGGTCATATGCCGGGTTTAGCACGGCTACAAATGATTTATTACAGTGTTAAATTTGAGCTTAACATCTTTGAACCAGCCCCCTTTTGTTAAAGTCAACAGGTCTCATCCTGTGAGACAGATGAATGCTGGACCTCACCGCTGAACACATTAAGATTTTGAATTTTTAGTAGTCAAATGAGGTGAATTTTATTTTTTTTTGTCTCCTCATCCACCACCGCCACATCTCATTCAACAATTGAGTTACCTCAAACAACTTGACCTGCTATGACTGAACATTTCCACTATTTATTATTCAGGACTCCCCCACAAGCAACAGACTCATGCAGATCCTCTTCGCCTCTCCTCATCCCTCCTCCTCGTCCCCAATTCATCACACACACACAAAAACACTATTAGGTTTCCTGTGCCAGCTGCACACGAGATGATGTCCCTGCCCACACCCGCTCGCTGTGGCCGCAAAAAAAATGTTTTCCAATATCCTTCATCTGCCATTGTTCATTTCCCTCCTCTGCCGGATGTCTCTCGCAGCTTGTAAATTGATTTATAATGCCGTCTCCTCCTGAGTGGGATGGGGGGGTGAACACAGTAGAAGCTGGGGGTCTGGTAGAATGGGTGCAGGTTCTGGGTGTGACACGGCTGCAGCTATGAAAACCCATATACTCTGTTGGGCAAATTTGATTGGGGCAATTTCCATCGCTGGCTTCCTTGACTTGAGGGAGGAAAGGTTTGGGGCTGTTATTGGCTTTGGGATCACTATGGAAACCACAGAGCAGAGTGGTTTCCTGAGTGAAGGTATGAGATGAGTGTGTGTGTA